GATCGGATCGGAAGTAAAAAAAAAAGTGGATCGGTGCATCCCTACTTCCATCTTCCCGTCACACTCTCCTCACTTGTTAGAACATTACCATTCCTATCTTTAATAAGCCTAACCTGCTGCACATCCTTTCCAGCCTGATCCCTCTGTCTTGCCAATCGGTACAAGTCCTTCTCACCCTCTTCAGTGTCCAGTCTCCCATACAACTCATCATACGCCCTCTGCTTTGCCTTAGCTACCTCCCTGTTTGCTCTCCGTCCCATCTCCTTATATTCCTGTTTCCTCTCTTCAGTCCTCTCTCTGTCACATTTCTTCTTGGCTAACCTCTTTCTTTGAACATCTTCCTGCACTTCACTATTCCACCACCAGGTTTCCTTATCATCCATTCTCTGTCCAGATGACACACCAAGTACCTTCCTACCTGTCTCTCTAATTACTGTTGCTGTAGTAGTCCAGTCATCTGGAAGCTCTTTCTTACCACCCAGAGCCTTCAACAGCTCCTCTCTGAATTTATCACAACATTCTTCCTTCTTTATCTTCCACCATTTGGTCTTCTTCTCTGATTTGACTCTTCTTCTCTTCTTCTCAACAACAGTCATTCTACACACAACCATCCGATGCTGTCTGGCCACGCTCTCCCCTGCCACAACCTTACAGTCTCCAATCTCCCTCAGGTTTTCTCTTCTACACATAATGCAGTCGACCTTCCTCCACTCTTATAGGTCACTCTATGTTCCTCCCTCTTTTGGAAATAGATGTTGACTACAGCCATTTCCATTTTCTTGGTGAAATCCACCACCATCTGTCCTTCCTGGTTTCTTCCTTGACACCAAACGTACCCATCACTTCCTCATCCTCTGTTTCCTTCACCAACATGTCCATTCAGGTCTGCTCTGATCACCACTCTCTCCTCCCTGGGAATACTCTCTATCACTTCATCCAGATCTTTACAAAATGTATCTTTCTCCTTCACATCACATCCAACCTGTGGAGCATAACCATTGACAACATTTAGCATCAGACCTTATACTTCTACCTTCAGACACATCACCCTATCTGACACTCTTTTCACCTCTACTACATTCTTTGCCAACTCCTCCTTTAGGACCACCCCTACTCCATTTCTCTTTCTATCCACACCATGGTAAAACAGTTTGAACCCTGCTCCAATGCTGCGAGCCTTGCTGCCCTTCCACTTGGTCTCTTGGACACATAAAACATCTACTGATATTGATTGATGATCAATGATTTTATTATTGATTTTAGTTGCACTCTGTAGCACTTTGAGATTTTTGTTAATGAAAAGTGCGTTACAAATTAAATTTGTTATTATTATTATTATTATTGTTATTATTATTATTATTATTATTATTATTATTATTATTATTATTATTATTACCTTCCTTCTCAGCATCATGTCAGCCAGCTCTCTACCTTTGCCTGTCATTGTCCCCACATTTAGAGTTGCAACCGTCAGTCCTACATTCTTCACGTTCCTCTTCTCCTCTGTCTCCTGACATGTTTCCCTCCTCGTGGTCTTCAACTAACAGTAGCACAATTTCCGCCAGCACCCTGTTTGTCAACAGCACCGGTGGCTGTCATTGTTAACCTGTCCTCAACCGATCCGGTATGGTTTCACTTTGATGAACTCGCATTATTGTTTTGACAAAAGTGTTTTACATCAGATGCCATTCCTGACACAACCCTCACCATTTACCCGGGCTTGGGACTGGCGCAAGAGATACACTGACTTCTGGCTTGTGGTCCCTAGTGGCTGGTTTGAAAAAAAAATAAAAATCCTACGAACTCGTTTAAATACATTTACACTTGAAATATTCACCCTAAATATCTCATTAAGTCGGGATGGAAGTACAGCAATAAATAAATGTGTCAGTCCGTTGCAGTTTTTATTGTTAAAAAAACTTGCATCAAGTCCTGCAGTTTTTTCCTCACACATCGTACAGACCCTGCCAGAAAGCCACTATGATTAGTCAGTAGATTTAACCTTAGCATAAATATGCCTCATATCAACAGCATGACAGATTATCACTAATTTAGGTGAACATATTTTGCATATTTTGTAGTGAAATGTGGGGGACATCTTAACTGTCGCTTCACTACTAAAAATATACAACGGGTTCTTTCTTTTTCGAGTTAAATTAATGCCATGTGACGAGTTAACTGTGAGGATTGTTTAATCAGTGACAGGAGACGCTATTTTTCTTTGACCCATCAGAATAAATGTGGTCATTTATTTAACAGAATCAAAATTTAACATCAAAACATGTACACATGGATTTGTTGATCTGGTTCTGATTAATAAAAACTTGGCACGCTTTACTAACAAGACAACAGAACATTTCTGAAGGCATCTAGATTGATTTACTGGCCAAATAGAAAGGTTTAAAGGAAGGAATGGAGAAGTTTAAAGGAGATGGATGAAGGAAAGTTGTATGTTTTGTTGACCAGAATTAGCACGCTTCTTCCAACACCAGCTCAAACCCCCGGTACACTCGATGTGTGACGACTTGTTAACTTTGTAGAAGATAAATCAACTCCAGTACAGAGGTCCATTTCAACGCTACCTTTCCAGCCTCTCCGGTCAGGGTGGCTGGGCATTGCCAGAAGTCGTGATGATTAGTAGTATTAGCAGATTAGTACGATTAGAAGTATTAGCGGAAGCGCTAGCCTTGTGTAACACAAAAACCTTCCAGCTAGACCACAGTGCTCTGAATAGTTTAACGAAGCTTCGAGGCAGATATATTTGCCTCAAGGCTTTTTTTGTAGTCGAGTTGCTTGAATGATTCGAGGAATCGTTTTAGCCCTACACCCACGTGTACCGTTACACCACTAGTTTCTTGTCATTTTCAATTTTGCAATAAAGTGATGAATCAGTTGTTTCAGTCTAAAACTGTACTGTCTGATTGAGCTGTGACCAGACTGAAACAGCTGCTCCTGCAACCTCCTGAATACTGGAAACGTTTCCTCACACATGCTCATACTTGATGTGTGTCCCCTCGTGTCCTACTTTTTGTTCATTTTCTCTGCTTTCATGTGCATGTAAAACAATGAAGAGCAGTGGGTGCAGTTGGACAGCTGTGGTCTGGAAGGGAGGGATCAGGCAGAGATGAGATGGAGAAGGAAACTGCTCTTTGTGGTTACATCCTTTTTCACAAAGCTTTTTTTTTCCACAGACCCCCAAACAGCTGCTGCTGCTGTTGCAGGCTGCTTGTGTTTGACCCCAGCCAGACTGGTTGACAAGGCTGTATATCAACCTTTGGTGATGTGTTCAAACACTGAATAGTTGTAATTGGTTTATCAGGACGATCTTAGATGTCATTAATTTTGTCCCTTGCTAAAAGGTGATTGCTGACCAGAATGATTTTTTTCCGTGCGTTTGTGTAAGTCTGTTATCAAAATATCTTACGAACCACTGGACACATTTTAAAGAAACTTTCAGAAAGTAAACCTTGAATGCACATCCACGATGGATTCAGTTGAACAGATAAGTTCATTCAGGATGGCTGCCAAAGCCGACAGATATTAAGCACACAATAATGGGTAAAAGTACATTTTACAGTTGTTTACCTAAAAATTGGTGTAGGTGGAACTACAGCAACAGCTGAGACTGATCACCAACAAATTCATTTATTGAGCTCTAACAAACTGCACAAGGTATTTAAAGTTTTGTGGGTGACGATTTGCAGTCAACTCTGTTGGCGTCTCAGGAATCACTGAACCAAAGGGAGCAGTAATTCACTAAATTTTACAGATACTGAGCTAAAAATTGGTCCAGATGTAACTGTCATTTACAACCAGATGACACTCATCTTTCCTGACAACTTGTCGTCGACCCTCATTGCAGACTCTTGTGAACCACTCGACAAATTCTAGTTAAACTTTCGGAAAGTAATCACTGAATGTACATCTACAACATGTTCAATTCATGTACAACTACAATTTGATGTGGAAGTAGCTGAAATTCAATAACTCATACTTTGAGCATGACAGCTTGGGGCTGTGGTAGTTCAGTGGTCTGTGTGTCATAACCTGAGGTTGCAGGTTCAAGCCCAGTTTGTGTCAGGAAGGTCATTGGGCTTAAAACGATTAACAAATCTTTCATGTGCATTCGCTTTCTATAGAGACCCCTGATGAAGGGAGCAGCCGAAACAAAAAAACTTTGAGCCTGGCATCTTGTGATATTATTTTCAAGAGTTTGCAAAATAACTATTTATTTGTCAAAATAAGATGGATCTTTGTCTAAAACTGTAGTGTGAAAGACAGCGGGCGATATGCATTCCAATTAGAGATTGTAAACCTTTAAATTAGAAATAAGTTTTTTAAAAGCTTGTTTTTTAATGGCCATGCTTATAGAGTCATTTTTTATTGTGAATGATGCTTATGTAAAGTTTTCTTGCTCAGGTTTAAATGGCGGCTCAGTATTTTGTCTCATGTCTTACTTTATATCGGATCATCAATGCTTTCAGGCAGGCCAACATTCCACCCGTCTAAAACATAATTCACACGTCTGTCATGTTTGTTTTTTCATATGCATGACCAACTGACATAAAAGACATCATATAATTGTATCATACAGGTCTTAGCAAGTTTGAAACTCCAGTGAAGATGATGTCGGATAAAGAGTACAAAGGTGCTTCTTGATTAGCCAGTCAATGGAGAACAGAAAGCTACGCTGATATTTCAACTCTCACATTTTGACAAAAGATTTGAGTTTCCCAAGGCTTGCTGGATAATGTTGGTTTAACTTCAGTCATTGTGTTGATTTTATTTGAACTGTTTTCTTCTTTTGTTTTGTAGAAGTGTGGCAGATCAGAAACTGTGGAGAAGTTCACCTGAAGAGGAGCTGCGGGTTGTTGAGAAATGATAGCTTCCTTATGAGACGTGTTTCAAACTTGTATCGTTGAGACCTGCTGCCACGTTCTGATCTCAACTCCTGCACTCCCTCCCTCCCTCCCATCGGTGCCTGTGACCCTACCCCGGACAGCTTGCTGTTGGGCCCTTCCTGACCAGCAGCAGCTGCGTCCTGCTTGCTGACTCCCGTTCCTCCCGTTTCCTGTCCTTGGTCAGACAAGGCTGAAGCCTCCACTCCCCTCACCCCACCTCTCATTTTTGTTGGCCTCCCAGCACAGTTATATTCACACTGTCAAGCTGCTTGATTTGTTGAGCACACGCTCGGATTCTTTCAGGGTGCCATTGCTGTTTGGGAGAGCTAAGCAAGTGACTTTTAAAAACCTCACGAGACCTGAACTTGCCATCTGTCTCAGGTAAACCCTTGAAAAATGACCTCCATGTCAAGTCTTTTCTCCTTCACAAGTCCAGCAGTCAAACGTCTGCTCGGATGGAAGCAAGGAGACGAGGAGGAAAAATGGGCCGAAAAGGCAGTGGATGCGCTTGTGAAAAAACTGAAGAAGAAGAAGGGTGCCATGGAGGATCTGGAGAAAGCCCTGAGCTGTCCCGGACAGCCCAGCAAGTGTGTTACCATTCCCCGATCGCTGGACGGTCGACTGCAGGTATCCCACAGGAAAGGTCTGCCTCATGTGATCTACTGCAGAGTGTGGCGCTGGCCTGACCTTCAGTCCCACCATGAGCTCAAACCTCTGGAGGTGTGCGAGTACCCGTTTGGCTCCAAACAGAAAGAAGTCTGCATCAACCCATATCACTACAAGAGAGTGGAGAGTCCTGGTAGGTTCCTTTGTCTGACCATTCAATTGTGAGATTATTCTCATCTGTTTCATACCAATTTTAGATACGCATTCAACTTTTTTGTTCTTTAAAACAACCAGTTCTTAAGACCTGCAATAAATTTAATCCTTTGTGCGTTTTTTGTTTTAGATTAACTCTCAAATCCCCTTTGACATAATTTAATGAGAAATCTAGTCACTTTAAAATATGCCTCTGCAGTCGGGGAAGAAAAATATGTGGCATAAAATAAATTTACAGTTGTCACATAGAAGTTAAAGTACACTAGAATGCAGAGGATTTAAGAGTTCTGGTGAATATATGTGAGGTTGATAATGTCATGCTTTTTATTTTACAAAAGGATGAATAGTTTTTTTGATCTCACATAACGTCATTTAAAAAAAAAAAAAAAAGGATACAGTGTTTCCCCTAGTTAACTTGCCATGGCGGTGTGCTCATATCCATGATTTTTGTTAACGTGGGGACAGAGATGTCTGAGAGCAGCTTGTACCAACAGTTTTTGAAGGGGGGGTGTTCAGCATGAGGGAGGAGGTTAGAGCACCTGTATTGCGTGCTGCTAGCTTAGCTTTTGTGTGTGTGTGTGTGTGTGTGGGGGGGGGGGGGGTTCAGAGTGCTGCCTTTAACATTTTAGCTAGAGACTCTGTGTTTTGTGCAGCTAGCTTAGTGCTATGTCTGTGCCGAGTGAGGGGTAGGGGGGCAAGTTCGAGGACAGATTATAGTGTAAAGCGCTTTGAGTATCTTGAAATAAGATAGAAAGGCGCTATATAAGTACAGTCCATTTACCATTTGGTAGGCGGGGTGCTCAGTTCTGTTGACGGGGTGGGGCACCCCTAATGGTAGGGGAAACACTGAGATGGTTTTTTTTTTTAAAGGATCTACAGGCATTTTTTTAAGCACCATAATAATTAAATGTTTTTTTTAAGCTAAAACTATTTTATTGCATATTTATAAAATTTTGTTTAAAATAATTTAAATATACTGTATTACTCTTATGGTGTTCTTTGCCCAGACGTGGGTTATCGGAGTCCCACCCTGGAGCCAGGCCTCTACCCATGGGGCTCGGTCGGGCTCAGCCCAAAGGAGCAGCATAGGTTTGCCTTCCTGTGTACCCACCACCTGCAGGAAGGGCAGTAAAAGTCGGGTTCGTGATGCCATGGGCAGTGGCTGAAGGCAGGGACCTTGGTGCTCTGACCCTGGCTTGCCAAAGCTATCTCTTGGGACATGGAATGTAACCTCTCTGGCAGGGAAGGAACCTGAGCTTGTGCGCGAGGTTGAGAGGTACCGACTAGATGTAGTTGGGCTCACCTCAACGCACAACATGGGCTCTGAAACCAATCTCCTTGAGAGGGGCTGGACCTTATTCCACTCTGGAGTTGCCCATGGTGAAAGGTGTTGAGCTGGTGTGGGTCTACTTGTAGCCCCCCAACTTAGTGTCTGTATGTTGGAGTTTTCTTCGGTAGATGAGAGGGTGGCTTCCCTTCGCCTTCGGGTGGGGGGACAGGCTCTTACTTTTCTGTGCCTTTGCACCAAACGGCAGTTCAGAGTATCCGGCGTTCTTGGAGTCCTTGGCAGGGGTGCTGGAAGGTGCGCCAGCTGGGGACTCCTTTATTCTGCTGGGAGACTTCAGTGCCCACATGGGTAATGACAGTGTGATCTGGAGGGGCGTGATTGGGAGGAATGGCCTCTCTGATCTGAACCCGAGCGTTGTTCTGTTGTTGGACTTCTGTGCTAGTCATAGTTTGTCCATCACGAACACCATGTTCGAACATAAGGGGTGTCCATACGTGCACTTGGCACCAGGACGCCCTAGGTCGTAGATCGATGATGGACTTCATAGTTGTGTCATCTGATTTGCGTCCGTTTGTTTTGGACACTCGGGTGAAGAGAGGAGCTGAGCTGTCAACTGATCACCACCTGGTAGTGAGTTGGATCAGATGTTGGGGGAAGATGCCGACCAGACCCGGTAGACCCAAATGACTAGTGAGAGTTTGCTGGGAACGCCTGGCAGAAGAACCTGTCAGAGATAGTCAACTCACACCTCTGGGAAAGCTTTAACCACATCCCAGCTGAGGTAGGGGACATTGAGGGTGCATTCACACCAGCCCTGTTTAGTCCGCTTGAATCAAACTCTTAGCTCGTTTTCCTAGGAAGTCCGGTTCGTTTGGGGAGGTGTGAATGCACCATCGAACTCTGTCACGGAACAAAAAGGCGAACTCTGGCCCGGGCTAAAACCTAGGTCTCGGTCCGGTAGAAGAGAACTCCAGCGTGGTTCGAGTACAGTGTGAATGTAAACAGACTGGGCCCGCTTCACAAGCAAGAAGTGGAGTACAGCGCAGGACAAACAAACACGCATTTCTCTTACCTCATATGGAGCCGTCAGCTGTCTTGTGTGAAAAACAATATTCTCCATGGTCTTCTGCCTCATCTTCTGCTCATGCTGAGTCCATTTTTGAAAAATGACAAAATATAACTCCTAAAACTGCTAAGACTTTATGCCACTCCGTTTTTGTTTTTATTTCCAGAAGAAGAAGAAGACGTGTCTTAAGAGGTTTTTGTGTCATTTCTTTCAGTAGTTCTTGGTGCAGCGCCACCACAGGCGAGTGGAGGAACAGGTTGCTTCAACAGGTTGGCTCGACTGCACAGTGCAGTGTGAATGCAAACGCACCAGCTCAAATGTAAACAAAATGTTATGAATATTGGTCCTCAAACAAACCAAGTCTACCGGACTGTCAGGTGTGAAAACAACCTGAGTCAGAGTGGGCCATGTTCCGCACCGCTCTTGTTGAGGCAGCTGCCTTGAGCTGTGGCCGCAAGGTTTTCGGTGCTTCTCGCGTTGGCCATCCATGAACTCGGTGGTGGACAACCTGGGTTAGGGAGGCTGTCAAGCTGAAGGAGTCCTATCGGGCCTTGTTGGCCAGTGGGACTCCGCAGGCAGCTGAGGAGTACCGGAGGGCCAAGCGGTCCGCAGCCATGGCTGTTTCTGAGGCAACAGCTCAGATGTGGGAGGAGTTCGGTGAGACCTTAGATAGAGACTCTCGTTTGGCTCTAAGGAGATTCTGGCAAACCATCAGATGGCTGAGGAGGGGAAAACAGCACTTTACTAACACTGTATTCAGCGAAGGTGAGCTACTGTTGACTTCAACCAGTGATGTCATCAAGAGGTGATGGAATATTTCTTGGACCTTCTCAATCCCACCAGCACGCTTTCCATGGAGGAAGCTGAGTTGGGGGACTTTGGGGTTGATCCGTTCATAACTGTGGCTGAGGTTGCTGAGGTAGTTAAAAAGCTCAGAGGCGGCAGGGCTCCGGGAGTGGATGAAAGTCACCCTGATTTCCTTAAGGCTCTGAATGTTGTGGGGCTGTCTTGGTTGACACGCCTTTGCAACATTGCGTGGACATCGGGGGCAGTGCCACGGGATTGGCAGACTGGGCTGGTGGTTCCTAGGGATGGGGCCGATCCGGTATTGGTATCGACCTCCGATACCAGCATAATTTACATATAGGATTTTTCCGATCCAACCTGCAGAGATTTCCGATCCATGATGCAAGTTGGCTTCAAACTATGGAATGGATTTCCTGAACGGTGGCGTGTCTCATGAACCCAGAGTAATAAGACCCGACTCGCATTCATGAAGTCCATTTCATAGTTTGCAGCCAGCTACAATGTGAGGATTGAGTTAGCAGCACTGTGGCTAACAGCTAACAAACTTTTCATCTAAACATGTCCGCTGTGTGGAAGTATTTTACACTAGAAACACCACAAAACAAGACAGCAACGTGCAATGTCTGCAGAGCCATAGAGCCACATTAAACCGCGGTAAAGTTAGTTTTACGTTGGACATTCGAGCTCCGGGGCTTCAGCGGGGTGCTGCTCTTTGCTCAACCCGCAACAGGTAACTCGACCCCGGCCAGCCATGCCCAATCTGCTCGTCTCTGAGGAGGGGCAGACTGAGCGCGGCTGTCCGAAATCAAACTGCTTGCTTCGGATTGAACAAAAAGAAGACATTGTTGAAGCCCTGGAGCTCTAATGTTTACAGAGAAGTTGCTTAACTTTGTTGTAATTAATGACCAACCACTATCAGTTGTAGAAACGAAGGATTTTGCAGCTTGATACTTGCAGCCAAGATATAGTTTACCCTGCAGGAGATATTTTATCAGTACAACAGTAGACAATTATAAAAAATATATGAATTGAAAATTACAAGAAAATTATATATATTTAAAAAAAAAAAAACGAAATAAAAACCGCTACATTATAAAGTAATGTAAAATACTAAAATCAGGAACATGTCTGTTGGTTTATGCCATGAACTTAGCAGATGTTTAAAGCTTTTTTTTTTTTTTATTCATTAATTTAAAATAAACAAAACAGAGCCATAAATCACACCATTGGTTGGTTCTCTAACTATCTTTCAGACCGGAGGCAATGTGTTCAACATAATGGTACTTCCTCCAGTTATTTAACATTCAACAATGGTGTACCACAAGGCTCAGTCTTAGGACCCACCCTCTTTACAATCTACATACATATTGTAGGCAAAAACATCCCTAATGCATCCATACATTTCTATGCTGATGACACAGTTGTTTATTGTCGAGCTAAAACAGTTGCTAAGGCTTTCCAGCTTTTGAAATCTGCATTCAACATCATCCAGACAGATTTGTTCCGCCTCAAACTTGTCCTAAATGCCGAAAAAACCAAAGGGATGCTTTTTTCAAATAGGAAGTTGGTCCCAGCAGTTCTTCCTCCGATTTTATCCTCAAATGGTGTCCCCATTGAGTTTGTTGATTCCTATAAATATTTGGGTATCTTGGTCGACTCACATCTCTCTTTTAAGCTCCATGTGGAAAACTTGGTAAAGAAACTGAAAGTTAAACTGGGTTTCTTTTTCAGAAACAAATCCAGTCTAACCCTGAATGCTAGAAAACGCCTTGTATCTGTGACTTTCCTTCCCTCCATTGATTACGGTGACATTATTTAC